GGGATGTGCAGCCAGACGGAGATTACGCGTTCTGCTCACTATTTTTATCAGAGAACCGAGCCAGGGAAAAACCGAACCTAGCCCATCTCTGGAACTGGTCTGCAGTTAGCACGGTCTGGTTGTGTCTAGCTCGGTTCAGTTCAGTTTGCTTTCCATTTACACACGATAAGTTATCTCAGTTACTGAGCTCGGACCGGTCTCAGAATGGTTTTTCAAGGGTAGTGTAAATGGGGTATTAGGTGCTACCTATTGGGGAATGCTTGGCGCGTGGGTGGGGGGGCTGATGCAGGAGTTGAGGTGGGGTAGAGGTTGATGAGTTTGCAGTTGGTACTACTTCTCCTGGATCAGCTCAGATTGGGCTGTTTAGCTTGTTTTGGAGCGGCTTCTGCAGGGATGAGGACTAGACGGCGGGTTTTCTTAGGTTAGGGTCGTGAACAGCCCTGGTCTTGGCTGGTGACTTCACCAGTCTTTGGATTACATGTACTCATGTAATCCAAAAGAGAAAGAGTAAAGAAGTATAATCCGCCCCAGTCTGTGCTTTGGAGCTGGTTTTAACTAGTCTCTGCACGGACTAGACATTTATTCACATCTGTAGTTAGCTTTAGATGCCATTAAATACGTATCATAATACATAACACTGTATTTCTCGATAACCTGGATTATCCTGCCTTCTTTATCTGCTTGGATCTGATCTCCTGTCAGCTCTGCAGCCTTCAAGGCTTCAGCGTCTGGAACTCTTGTCTTATCAGGGGACCGACTGGAATCATCCTCGTCCTCTGGGCCCGAGACTGAACTGTAAAACCAGGTTAGGGACTCACGTGTTCATAATCATCCTTGGTCAGATTATCATGGTCACTAACCTGTGTTTTCTCTCCTGTAGAGCTCCCTGCCTTAGATGCCTTAGCCGTTGCTACTGCAGAGCCGCAGATCCAGTTTTAAATTAAAGCTTTTTGAGTAATCTCACTGTATGTCCTGCCTTCCATACTGGATCTCTGTTCTGAGGCATTATAATATATGATTGTTGAAAGATGGTTGGGATTGCCATCATCTTAAAGTGCACCATCCATATTTTTTGCATATTTTAATTTGACCTTTCTTAAGTCAGATGAATGGGTCATGATAAGACATATCATGGAACATAAAGGGATATGGAGATAGAAAAGGTTCTACCATAATCCAACAGTCTTCCATTATGGGAGAGGAACCGATTGTTTGTGTACAGGCTTTCTGATTTACATCAATATAAAATGATCTTAAACATGTAAAGTAAAACCAAAAGACATTAATTAATGAGCAAAGATTTTGACGATTCTGAATCCATGTGAATCAAACCAGTATTTGTATCCATACCTTTTGAAAAGCCTCACCTGGCTTCCTGTGCAGCATGTGGTTGGCCTCCACAGCTGTGATCTGGGAGACCGTCGTGAAAACGTGAGCACAGTGCACTGCTGCTCGTTCCAGGCAGTACCGATGGTAGATCTGCCTCTCTCCTGCTTCCTTGTCAACATTGAACTGCAGCACAAAAGTATTGGAAGTGATTTAAAGCTGGACAATTACAACTAAAACTTAGTAAAAACAGGATGTAAGCAAGTTGCTTTGCTATTAGTTGGATTATTACATTGACCTAAGTCACATTTGGTTTCTGTACATCTATTATAAGCTCAGTACTCAATTTTTGGTTACATTCAATGATGCTGTTATATAGACTCCTGGGACTCTGGGGAAACTTTAGATGTTGGGAGCCAAAACTTCCTATGTGCGGCTTTGGGTCTTGGTTGTTGTTAGGAATCCAGTTTTCGTGTTTTCTCCCTCCACCACCAGGTGGCGCCCAGTTCTCTTTGGCCCTTCCACACACCTGTGGATGGTTGCCTCATTATCTGAGGATTCTTAAGCTGCTGACTGTCGCTATCTTGACGCCAGAGTGTTTGCCAGTTTTAGTTACTCTAGCCAAGCTGTGTTTGCTGAGTCAAACTGAGTTTTTGTCTCCCTGAGCCCTAACCTTGTTGTTTTTGTCTTTGCCTCTCGGCAGGAAGTCATCCTGCAAACTGAATGTTTTGGCCTTCTCCCTCCTGGAAGGATCGTTTGAGCTTCACACCGAGCAGGGGATGCAAACTGGAGTTTGGGCCTTCTCCCCCCGAAAGGATTGTTTGAGCTTCACATTGAGCAGGGGATTAATCTCCACACGAACCGTTCAAGTACTTCAGGAAATTTAAGTGGCAGTCAGCTCCATCGCTCCTCAAGGAACCAACCAACCCTGAGTAAACCCTGTCCACCCTCCAACGAGTCAACCAAATTCTGGAATAACCCACACCGACTGGATTCTGGGAAGGACACCTTTTCTAGAAACGTGAGTCCCGTTTCAGTTTTTGGTTTTTGCAAGTCAATGCTCAATTTTCCCACTGAGCCTGAACTAAACTCTGAACTTCCCTTCTCACTTCCAGAGATGTAGAACATGAACAACTTGGGAAAAGACTTTAAAAATCAATTTGATGTTAAATAACTAGACAATCAGAACCATCCCTTGCCTTAACTACCATTTTTAAAGATCTCTGCTCACCTAACACACACGGTGACAATGCCTGTTAGAAGCCAAGAAACTTCAGTTTCCAACTATATTATTGTGAAGTTGTTCCTACAGACAGTGTGGAAGCAATCACTGAAAACATGACTTTTTTTTAACCAATATTTTCCAATATCTATGAAGGAATTATGGGATGTGTCTGCTGCATGTTCTGTAGGAGTTTCATCTGTCTACTGTAGCTAATTGTGTGTTGGTCAAATTAACAATGTTCCAACTGTCCCCACTCTCCACTATTGCATTTAACCCTGACATTTACCTCTACCTTTACCAGTATATTACTGGTAATGGCTCATAAGCTCAAATCTGTTCACACCGTACGTCTAAATGGACTCCATAACATTAAATATGGAGGTCTACCCCATTAGACCTCCATAATTTGACTGTATGATCTGGTTGAACTGTAAAGTGCCTTGAGATGACATGTGTTGTGAATTTGGCGCTATATAAATAAACTGAATTGAATTAGGACCATAAGGCCCGTTGGTCCCCATAAAGTTAGAAAATATACCAAAAAACGGTCCTAAAAAGATATATACACACACACACACATACACACACACACACTGACTTCCTTTCATATTGCACTCATTTCTATGGCAAAACCCAAACCCAACACATGCCTAACCCTAAACCTAAGCCCACCCCAAGAAGAGTACATTTCCTCTTGGGGTCATTAGTCCCCACAAGTACCTATGAATCCCTGTCATGATCTGGCACTCTGGACTTTTTAGTTTTGTGTAAGTTTTCATTTTGGGTTCTCAGTTATGCTTTGTTTCATGCAGAGATGTCAAGTAACGAAGTACAAATAGTTCGTTACTGTACTTCAGTTCACTTTTTAGGTATCTATACTTAACTTCATTACCGGTACTTATTTTTCTTCCTACTTCTGACATCTACTCATTGCATTTTCAAACAAGTATCTGTACTTTCTATTCTTACATTTTTAAAACAAAAGTTACTCGTTTACTCGTTACTCTTTAATGCAGAGGTCAGGGATTAGCGGATCGCCGTCCAGTGTTATGCTGAAGAGTGCATCCCTGCCGAGATATGCATCCCCAGTCGCGGAAGCGCACCTCGCTCTGTACAACTGCGACTATTAATGAGGAAAACAAATTAAAATATGACCAATGGAACCACTTGTTGTTATATTAATGATATAAAAACGTTTAAATATTCCTCTCATGGGAACAAAATAGTGGTTATTTGGCAGATTTATTTACAAAAGTACGGGTGTTATGAACGACATTAAATCCAAAGATTTTGTCCGAGGTACGGCTGATTTATTTGTTGCAGGTCTCTTGTTATTTACACACAACAACAAACAGTGATAGGCGATGTGAGTTTGGAAACTGCAA